AAGAGGAATGGCAGCTTGAAATATTCGCCATACTACTCTAGATAACAGTTTAAAATTTTTTGGGATTATTTTTTTAATTTTACGTCTAGTCTCTGGATGAAATTTAAAATGTGATTTCTGAAGTAATACTTCATTTGGCGTTTCGAAAAATATGCGAGTAAAGTTTTTACGATGCGTGCGCAAGCTGACAAACAAAAAGCGACATGATGAAGTTGGTGGCAAAGCGAATAACTCATAAAATATTACCACATATAAAAATCTCATTCTCACATAAAAAATTGAAGATGTTAAATATTCTGGAACGATCTGAACAGTTATTTTGCTTGAATACCGAATCCACTACAAAACGTTTGCTGTTTAAGCTAAACAGGAATCACTTTTTACGAGTTACACCACGTCGCGATCGCGGGAAACGCGTATAAGGTTTAAACGGTGGTTTCCCACGGCGGAACTGCACCTACGGAGTAACATTCGGCGCAATGGCATCTCTACGTTTAAGCGGCATTAAAAACGAATGCGAAGTAAAATCGCGCAGATTACCCTCTCTGAGTGCCACCCTAATTAAAATTCTTCCCATTGACTACCGTAGCGCTACGAGCGTAGAGCGTAGTGGGTACAATTAGTTCCACATTAGAGAAGCAGTTATAGAACTTAGTTTCCTTGATTGTCTACTTAACTGAATATCAAAGTCACATTTTTTTACAGCTCAAAAGTATATGTAGGTGTATCGGCCTAGGTGATTAAATTACGGTATCGTAAGACAAAGGTACGGCGATACGGACTGAGTCATGGGTATTTACCGAGTGGCGACCGATGGCGACACTCCATAAAAGTTTCTCTAGTTCATCAGGATTGGCAATGGATCTAGTGATATGCAAAATATAAATGTTAATCGAAACTTGAATATATTTTAGAAAAAATAGGGAAATCATATTATTAATAGTTATTAGTGATAGTTTTATAGGTTACTGTTCTCCTTAAAGGAAGTCTTTTATTATATGTTGTGTTTACCTTTAATTTAAATGCATATATACAATGTTTAAGTGCACCTCATAATAATTGTTTCTATATGTATTTAGTTGGTAAGCCTTGTTAAATAAATAAATAAAAAAAAATCATCACTTCATAGTATAAAATAAGGTCGTCCCGCTGTCTGTCTGTCCCTATGTATGCTTAGATCTTTAAAACTACGCAGCCGCAACAGATCTTGATGCGGTTTTGTTTACTAGATACAGTGATTCAAGAGGATGGTTTATATGTATAATGGATTGCACCCGTGCGAAGCCGGGGCGGGTCGCTAGTAAATTGTAATATTGACTAAATTAGAATCAGCACTTGTGAGAAACGTTAGGGCAGATGTCATTATTCAACATCGAGAGATGCGGACTTTGAGTTGAAAGGCGGCTGACCACTCCACAACGTCCCATACCGATCGATCAAGTAAATCGCTTGCGCGTCCGCTATTAGAAGCCGAGAAAACGCTCTCACTTACACCGCACGAGTGGAATATCGAGAAAACATTGCGTCGGACAGATTTACAGCTACCGATGTCGGAACACGGCTAACGTATGGCCAGTGGCCACTCCGTGCCGCCATTTTTACTCCCGCCCCGGCGTCGCTGATTGTTTCGCGCACACGAGATCGGAATTAAACGGATGGCAGTGTACGTATGTAACTTCTAAGCGGTTGCGTTCAGCAATTATTATTTCGCAGTCTTTTACTTAAATACATATTATAAAACAAAGTCGTCCCGCTGTCTGTCTGTCTTATGTATGCTTAGATCTTTAAAACTACGCAACGGATCTTTATGCGGTTTCTTTTATTAGATAGAGTTATTCAAGAGGAAGGTTTATATGTATAATACATTGCACCCGTGCGAAGCCGGGGCGGGTCGCTAGTCATTTAATAAACTCACATTCATTTCATTAATGAAATTCACATTATAAAAGAAAAAAGAACGAAGAGGTGGCTCGGTGGCGTCGTTGCTGAGCTATTGGCGACGGGGTCGTGGGTTAGATTCCAAAACGGGACGTATTTGTGTGAACCTCAGATGTTCCGGTTTTGGGTGTTTGTTTTCCAAGGAGGGTTGACGACGATCCGCTCTCTTGCTTGAAAAAATAAGCCGTAATTGTGCCCTGCTTCTGGAGGTACACTGACTAGTCTAGTGAATTAAAGATAAAAAGTTATCTATCTAGGTTCATCTGTCAGAATTTAAATAATATACAGAGATAAAGGTTTTCGAGTGGCAGCCTCCTATTGGGTATTGTTGTGTGGGATGACCTCACAATAGGTGGAGTGACTACTTGTGCAGATATGCCAGAAATCTAAGGATGTAGATGGCTCAGGATCGTGCTTCGCGGTAGTCTATGGGGTAGGTCTATGTTCAGGAGTCGACTCACAACAGGCTGAAATGATGATGATGACATTTAACTGTGTACGACCGACCCGACTGACTTAGTGTATAGTGAAAGTGCCTCTTGTGACAAATGGTGGGGGTATCTTGTGCCAAGTGAAACAGTACAATTAAAATTGTAAAAAGTTAAATGCATTTATATAATTCTATCGCCTATACGAGTATAATGGAATCTCTCAAAAATCGTCTGTTTCGTGAAAGTAAACCATATTACAGATGGGCTAATGTATTCGCGAATAGATAGCGAAACGAGCGACCCCAGTCAATATGCTGCGTTGCTGACCTAGCCTCGATACATTGTTGGACATGTCGAAAACACAATGTTCGTTGAACTCGCCTTGTTAACGGTTACAGCGGATATGTCATTCAGACAGAAATCCAGCTTTGTCTGGAATTTTATTTCTGTCGGTATTCGGAGGACGGTGACTCCCCGCGAATAGAATAAAATGCCTCATAACACGCATTTTGCAAATCCTCGCGTGCCCATATTGCTTTTCCTGTCCAGTGAGAACATCTACTCAAATTTTTATTAGATATGAGGGTTTGAGAGTATCTAGATATCGGTAGGATATGCTGTTTTGCAAACTTTTTTGTTCTTTTGTGTATGTACAGTTAAAGACAGTTTATTACAGACAGATCATAAAAAAATCGGCTTTTAGAATAAGATGTGGCAGTTCCTAAATAAAAGTCATCCAAAAATATTAGAGTGTAAGCAGTTTTATTTTGTTATTAATTAACTTAGAAAAATAACACAGATTTGTGTATTTATGAATTTCACGTTAGCAATGGCGGAAATGGGCTTTTTCATTGAACCTGTATGTCGCACATAAACAAAACTTGTTAATTATCACTTAACAGTGTCGAATTTAGTTCATAAGACTTCCATTAAACGAGTACATACTGTGTAGAGATAATCCAACACCAACCAAAAGAATAAATACCTCACACAGAAAGAAAGACACGACGCCGTTGAAGTCAAATCAAATCAAAATATCTTTATTAAATATAGAATCATTACACTTACTTATTGGTTGTCAAAACGCTACTACCGGTTCGGAAAGAAAAGCCACTGACCTGAGAAGAACCGGCGAAAGAAACTCAGCGGCTTTTTCTTTTTTTTTATACCATTATTTATCAAATAAAGACATGTTTACAAATGTATTGAAGTCAACTTGAAAGAGCCCGGAGCGATCACTTCATTCTCCAGGGTGTGTTTAAGGCCACTTAAAACGGAAGTCCCCCTAAATCGAACCGTTATAATATAAGAGTTCTAACGTTTTTACCTTCATTCTAATATTTTAACTATTACTGAACTTGAATGTTAACAACTATTATAACGACAAGCAGCACTAGTAGCTATATCACCGTCCGAGAACGCGGCCGAAATCCAAGTGACCACCGCTCCATGCGACCATGTGTCCCTTCGCTCGGGTAGATAACGTCATATCCGGTATACAGTGTTGCCAGCGCCAACAATAATCACAAAATCGACGTTATGAACTAAACAGGTCGCTTTATAAACTTAAAAGTTTCCGCGAAACGCAAAATTGAACTTAAAATTAGACGTAAAATATGAAAGGCTATATATGAAAGGCACTTGCATGTCAGTAGAATGGTGCCTTGCACCTGGCGCGGCATATGCAGGTTGAGAAGCGACGCAGCAGTTCCAAACTCAACTTTAATGACGTCGGCACTAAGTTTATTTTGAAACAACTGCTCGCGCTAGGGGTTCGTAAAGCGATTCGATATTTCCCAGACAGTATAGTCAGGTTAATATCGAATCAAACGAAAACACAAATAAAGTGACATTAAACGTGAGCAGATAAAACTGGGTCTTTGTCAATATTTTTTGGAGCATTCCTTGTCATTTCTCTAACAGACCTTCCGTAGCCAATTAAATGGACTACTCTATTGAGGGTCGCGTTTCTAGTGCTGGCTCTGCTTTTTGAAACGTAATATTTATATCACATAATAATACATATAATCCTTGTAAAACTACACGATTCCTACAAGAAATGCTTTGCGAGGCTATTGAAATTGAAATCAGTTCGGGATCTTGTAAGTAATGAAATCGAATCCAGATGAAATTTAATTTGATTTTGATATATAAATAATTTTTTGTCGTTGTCGGGATTCGAACCTGCACCGTCTGACTAACAGTACATTTAAAAATATTAAATTAACTTTTTATTAATTATCGTAATAATTATTTATCGAGCCGAACTTCGGCGCTGAATCCCTTATCTTAGCAACTACGCCACTGCGTATTTTCATACGAGAGTTTTACAATATCGTCTCCTTTTTTTTTCATGTGACACGGCTAGCTAGCTGGCATATACGTGATGTTAAGTGATAACCGCCGCCCATTGACATCAGCCCATAGACTATCAAACCGTTAGACCTTGCTCCTGAATTTTTACAATTGTTGCCGAATTTCGACCAATCATCCCTCACGAGATTTGAATAGCAGCGGTTTTTAGAAAAGGGTACGCGGCTTAAATAAAAACGGCGCGCACGAAGGCCGAGCCCTAACCGCAACATCCAACGGAGCCGGCTAATAATCCCGCCGAATATATTCCCACTGTCACATTTTTGATGTCGCATAAATATCGCGCGAGCGGACAATATCTTCGTGCGCCCCGCGACATAGAATATTCATGAGCCACGGGACACATTTTTCAGTGTACCCTCGCGCATAATTAGCTCCCGGGATGCGCGGCGTTAGGACTCCGAATAATGAAAACTCCGAATTGTTCGCGGGCATTTCAATGGATCCCATTGTGCCGCGGCGAATTTGGGGGCTCCATTCAACCGCGATCGCCCGGATTTCTGCATGGGTCCCTTTGATAATGAACTCGACTTGCGGGATGCGGATTCGAGACAGTCCATTCAATATCCATGCTTGAGGGTTTTGTGACACACTTGATATTTCACCAGTCGCTCTTAAATTTATGATCTCAGATATTACCAGTACGGTCTTCGATATGAATCTTGCCATACGCCACAATACCGCTCACTTTCTGAGTAATAAAAAAGTAAGCTGTTAAGAGAGAAAAGAGCGAGCCGTTTTCATAACCGGTATTGTAACCAATTAAGGTAGAAAGTACTTCGTGCAGATATTACTAGTACAAAATGATTAATGGGTTATTGCACCAATATAAAACCTGACAAGACTGCAATTGTAACAGTGTCAGATAGAAATGTAGCACTTACACTTTTTACGATATTATCCATGACAAAAGTATAAGACGGCGTTTGGTCAAACACAACGATTTTCGAAAGCACACGAAAGTATTACACCATCACGGTTGAGTCGTGACACAGTGAAAGCAATAGAGACGTAAAAGACAATAGCCACCAACTGCATGGCGTGGTATAAATGTTTAAAGAGCTCTAATGAAATACCGTGGTAGAGCCACACAGCAGCCTTTGGGCCGTTGCATAAATAAGCAGGCTCGCCCGGGATGTACCCGTGATTTGACGACATACCTGAAACAAAAAAACTTTGCTATAGTTTCATTTACATCGCTTATATACACATGAATATTTCATTAAACTGTAAGTTTACCGAATACGAATAGAATTCCTACGGAGTGCGTTGATAACTACTGGACCCAAGTACATTAATAATCATTTTAGAATATACACATTATTTATGTGAGAAAGTGGAAAATGAACTGGCATCAAGTGATCATTGGAAAATGAACCGCCATCCATGGACATTTGCAACACCCGTAGGGTTGTAGATGTGTTGCCAACATTAAAAACTTCACTTACCAGGCCTCGTCGTGGTACAAACCCGGAAGGACCTGCCAATTCGTGCAACGTCGTGGACTACGAACACTGTTGCGTAGTCCTACCACATACTGGGAGGTAAGCATTTAAGCACGAATTAAAAGAAAGACTTCTACTGACAGAGAAATAAATGAGGAAGCAATTATTCATCGAAGTAACGAGTGAATTTTAACTTTGGATTTTGGGTAAAGTTAAAATCAATAAAATGTTAATTACGAATAGGAATAAATGCTAATAATAAATTTCGTTTGTTTTCCTTTTGTATTTTCATAATCACACACAGCGGCATATTAATTTGATGACTCCGTTGCGTAATTGCCAAGGTATCGGCTTTGGCGTCGGGGGTCGTGGGTTCGATTCCCACACGAGACAACTATTTGTGTGACCCACAGATAGTTGTTTCGCATCTGGGTGCTTGTCCGCGTGAAATTTATGTTTGTAAAACGTCCTTAAAACACAGGATAATGTTATCCTAAAATATAGGGCAATGTTTTTAAAAAGAATAACAAATATGCCCGAATTTAGCATTCGAGCACCGTACGAAACACTTGTCCCGGGTGGGAAACGAACCCACTACCATGGGCTGTAACCTATAAGCTAAGCAACTCCGCCCACCGACTTATAGATTCGAAACGTAACCTTCATTAAGAGTAAGTTACATCATACAAAGTGTATTTGTTTCCTTGCAATTGATTGTAAAACTTAACTCAACTGAGTAACACGAATAGACGGTAGGTTTTATTTTATCACAAGTTCTTCAGAGATTGTTTTCCACTCGAGCTGATTTGATTCCAAAGCATGATTGCTCGAGCAAAGTGAAGTGTTTACCAATGATGTGGATCCCATTGATTTCGTCATCATAAAATATATACGGTAACAGTGTCATGTATATTTTTATAAAACTAAAACTGAACATAATTAAACATATGATTAAATAAGTCAGTACATGAAATGACTTTTAATCTCGATTTTTAACTCAAACCTAAATAAAACATGAAGTTGAGAATATCGTTCTCAAAGTACGCATAATATTAGCTTTAATAAAAATGGCCTAAGCTCGTCGGACTCTTGACACGGCCTTGTTTGTTCAAGTTAGTGAATGTAGGTTTCTTTTATTAAATACACCACTTTTTAAAGGCACTAAATACGAGAATGTTAAATATACAGCGGCGGGAAATTGTGAGAAATATTTTTCTTCGGTGTGTTTTCGAAAACAAAAAAATTGTCAGTCGTAAAATCCAATTTATGCTCAAAAATAAATTTAATTTGCACCTTATGTGGGTATCGAATATAACAACACGGCGCATTAGTACTTGGTAAGTTGATCGACAAAATTTTTCGACATTCATGCATTCGACAAAAGAAGGCGGAGCTAAAAAACTTTATATAGCATCATCTGAAACACGCGTAGTGAAACTGCATAACTCGGAACGCTCTCGAGGGACATAGAGAGAAGAACAAAGTCGCAAGCATAAATTAGTATAGCAGCATAGATTAGCATACGTAACTAGAGAAAATCGCTGTTGCGGAATAGTCCTACAAACGAATTACAACAAATTAGCTGTTGAAGCCTTCACCCTAATGAGATGATCTTACGGATAGCGCAAGAGTTTAAAGAATTATCCATACTGCGCCGAGTTGTTGGTTCAATTCCCACATGGGACAAAAATTTGTTGACACGATATCCGTGAATCATGCGACATGGAGTTATTTCCTAATTCGAGATTTCGGGAGATAATTTTAAACGGAAATAAGTACCACCAATACAATTTTCATAGCAGTCATATAAAGAGACAAAACAATAGATAGATTAATTTAAAGATTAAATATAATAAAATGAACTAAATCGCCAATGAAAATATGTACCTACCTATGTATCCTAAGAAATAAACAGCAAGTACCAAAAAGAATAAAGACCCTATCTATACAAAGTTCATTAATGCGTATCTAACGATCTCTTGGATAGAGCCGGGGCGAATGGTATTCCATTTTCGAAAACCTCCGTCGACTACGATTCCATTCGTTCACTCCCGAACGATAAGGAGTGAAATTATCATTCAATGCATACAAACAGAATCTTTTTGGGTATCGCGTATGACTTACATGCGAAATGATCATTTGCTCACATGTAATAAGTGGCCATTAAATTTACTTTTAACGTGTACTAAGCATCCAATGTTAGTAATAAAAATAATCGTTTATTTGTCACGACTAAAAATATATAAATAAATAATAAATAAAGTATTCGCCTAAGTAGGATTCATTATCTTCAATATAACTGGACAATAAAATGTCTGTCACTGTTTCAAAGTCCAATTTCTCTTCAAAAAGTATTTAGATTTAAAAATTCTAAAAATCTTAATCAATATCTTAATCTTAATTAATCAATAGATTGGAAGTCAATATTTCATTAATATTAAAAATACAAACGAGCATTTAAAGTTGTCGACACGTACACCTTAATCGCAATCAATCCATCCAAAATGAGCGCGACATAATCGCCGCAAAAAAGGTGAAGCAAACATAATGCTTTACTCCTATAACAATTGAGAGTGCAATGACCCTGCATGTCGCGAGTCCATTGTCATCCGGCAATGGTCGAGTGCAACGACATTTTTTAGTATTCCGTCGAAGTGCAGCTGCGCGCTGATTGCGTCGTATTGTTGCGCGTGTGGCAATTAAACGGGCGACATTCCGATTGTGTAACATACTGCTAATTTTGTTTCCCGTATCATTCACAACGGAACTTGGCAAACAAGCTACTAGTTTTCATGTTAAGGGATACATGACTCTGTTGTGAAGTTGCTCAGGTGGTCGTGGGTTCGGTTCCCACGCGACACAACTATTTTGCGGATTTGGGTGTTTGCCCACGTGAAGTTTATGTATGCAAAACGTCCTTACAACACGGGATGATGTTATCGTACAGTAAAGGGGCAGTGTTTGCGAAGAGAAGACTACAATAGGTATACTAGTTCGCAGTGGTCTTTGGGACTTACTACCCAACCCCAACCACACTAAATGCAAGGGACCGCACAGGGACATCCCAATGAGTGTAGATCAACGCATCTGGATGCCAGCGTTTAAGACTGACTCCTAAGCAGCAAAGCAAAAGCATGAATATTTTCAGACGGGTCTTCTATAAAGTGCTGTGTAAAACGCAGTCGAGGCGCCGGAGCTACAGCATAAGGAATCACAGTAGCACGGCATAGTAGCACACTAATATACTTTACAGACCATAAATAATTGGAAAATTTGGGACGTCTAAGGAGAAGAGATCCTTATTAAGTGCATCATTAATTCATTACATGATTATTTTCTTTAGCTGTACCTCGATGAAGGAAAACGTTATTACGAGACCTGCATACTTTCGAAATACTAATAAGATAAACAAACGTTCTGTGCAACTCCGACTAACTAATTACGAACAGATTAAAATACGAACATTAATAAAAATTATTAATAAAAAACAAAGCCGACCTCAAATATCTCACTCACTGGTGTCGAAGATTCAAATATATTAAAACCCGTTCATGAATGGCGGAGTTGTGAGGTGACAAACAACATCAAATAAAACCGACCTAAGAACCTCAACCTTTTCTGAAGTGAGTTGAAAGGGGAAGCCTTAACAGCATAAGCCTAAGCGAACTTAGCGATTGTTCTGGAACATTAGTTGCGAAGTACCGAACGGAGACGTCTTGCAGGTTAGACGACACAATACGACCGACCTAAGAACCACATCCTTTTTTGAAGTCGGTTGAGGGCCATAACAACGTACGCCCGAGCGAACTTAGCGATAGTTCTGGAACATTACTTGCGAAGTACCGAGCGGAGACGCCTCGCAAGCTCCACACCACAATCGTTTCGACGCGAGCGGGTTGCATACGCTAAAAGCGCATTCGGGTTGCATCACTCACGGTTCGCGGAAACGGGCGGGACCACTTTCTTGGGGAACGCGGCATAATGGAGATAACGAGGTGGGTGAATCGCTGCAAATAACGATGGCGGCGGTGCTACGCCTTTATCCGCGAACACGGCGCGTGTCGTACCGAATGCGGCAGGTAGAATAACGCTCAAGGCAGATAAAGTGGCACAACAAACGCGCTACACTGAATTGTTTCCGTGGACTCGCGCGAATACAACGTACAAATAGTAAATGAAAGTGCTATTATACGGTTTAATCACCATTAAACGTGTGCCTTTTTT